TGAGTGCCCTGACTCTCCCGCACGCCTTCCATTGGGGCCACCAGAGGTAACACCGAGGATGTCATGCAGTTTCTGTGTCCCGGTCCACGGTAGCATTTGTTAAAATTGTCACGGGTAGTCTTGCAATAATAGACACCGTCTGAAAACAAAGGTATCATCACGTGAGTATGGCGAAATAAAGTCAAACCACGAAGAATACCTTCTGTTTTCCCAAAGTACTTGTGAGTCTTTGGGCCAATGTCTAAAAGTTCTTTCGGTGGCATTCCCAGTACTTCAACAATTTTCATCATTTGATCTAACTCTGAAGATCCAGCGAAGAGCGGCTCTCCTGTATGCATTTCCACTAGGATACAACCTGAACCAAAAGCAATTTATAACAGAAGGCTCATGAAAAAAAAACCTGAACGAACCTAGTGACCACATATCGATCTTTGTGTCATAAGCGATTCCTAATAAAACCTCAGGAGAACGATAAAACCTGAAATAGTAAGGCAATAATAGAGAAACGAGAACGGAAACTGGGATGGATTTTGGGTGCTATACAAGGGAAGATCGTTCAGAGTGTGCCAAGCTTTTTCAAAATGGTTTCTTGCATGACATTGGGGCACATATGGGACCACAGAAGCATGGTTCATTTTTCCTGAACGGCCCTCTGAACCAGAACCAGAAAAGGGGTCCCTAGTTCGATTTCCTCGTGGTGACAAATTTTTGCATTTCGAGTTGACGTTTCAAAATTCGCGCAAAATGGAGTTAGCATGAATAATTAGTACCATATCTCATGATTAGGACCGTCAGTAACCCTTACAAATAGACTTTGATTAAAAAACTGGTGGTGGAAATAGATAGTGTGAATAGGCTCATGCTGGTGTCAGAGTCCGCAATCCGTCGCGCGAGCGCTAATAGCAAGACGGATCACAGAAATCGCATGTGCTCCGATCAATACCGCGAGGTGCTTTTCAATTCCGCCGATATTTCTGCTTCCTGTCTCTGCGTACGATAATTGTTTTTTTATTATATTCGCTGTTTCAAATGTGCTCAAATGGTGCACTTGCAATTTTTTCGAATCGCGCGACGGATCGCGAAGTCTGACACCAGCATTAGTTGTTTCGAATGCCACAAGAGAAACATGATTAGAAAGTATAACACCTGACTGTATATATATGATAATCGATGACAATCTGGCATGAAGATCCAAAGTCAATGATATTAATCTTCGAGCGCTTAGGATTACACAGCAACACGTTTTCTGGCTTGAGATCGCAGTGAATAATAGACAGTTCCGGAGACGACAGTAAGAGCAGGGTTTTGTAACTGAACACGTTCATTACATGGAATAGGATCTATTCCTAGGAGCGTTTTGTACTTGAATAGAATCTCAAGGTTAGTAGTTCTCTTCGCTGCGTTAGAAGTGTGCCGTGAGCGAAGCCTTATACAGTAATGTCGTTATTTATAATGTGCACGTGTCACATAACAATCAGGGACAGTGGAATTAGCGCAATATGATGCTCATCACATAACGTGCATTCAGGATGGTCAAACTCCCGAGCCAGCTGAATGTCTTGTTTAAGCCGATGTCATAGATTTGCGAATCCTGCTAGCGGAATCCTGGGATTCGAGCGTTGCCCGGAAAGCGAGAGGTGCGGGTTCTATAGTCCCGCCTGGGGCGAAAGTTTTGTTCACAACCCAGCATTCTTGTGAAACTATGGTCTTTATAGCGTTGATACTTGCACCACGCTCTTGCTGTGACGTTTTTTGGGTTTCGTTTTGCCAATTATCGCCGTTCATTGCTAACATAGTTGAGGGCGGGGAAACGCGGTGCCACTGTAGTTGGAGATGTCTTGGGGCGGCACCATCGTAAGAGCTCTGGGTTTAAGCCGAGGAGGGCCCTAAATTCGGGGAAATGAGGATTGCTCACACTCTCTGGTAAACCTTTTCATCGAGCCTACAGCTGAGCATTACTCGCCCCCATTGACCTCCCACCCATCCCTACTTACGTTATGAATTAAGAGCTAGTATTAGTTTTTCATAACTTTCATAATCGAGTGATGTTTCGTCATGAATGCCTTCGGATGATTGTTGAATCTGACCCCTCCTTAGTACACCAGTGCTTTTGAATGAGGCCGTGATTTGTAAAACAAGTTTGAAAGCAGTTTAGCTCGCACGTGGCATTCTGCACTTTAGGAGTATCGACTATCATAAGATCATTTTGAGTTTGAGGTTAGATGTATGAGGCATGAGTTATTTTATTGTTCCAGGATTTGATCAAGAGGATGTTGACGTATGATCCAAAGGCTCGAATATCGCCATATTATGCTGTCCGTCATCCGTTCTTGAGACCAAGAACTACTTCTCAAGGCGGGCAATCTGCAGCTGCGGACAGTCCCACGGTATGTTTTTAATTCTTTTAGTTTCTACACATGAAGCCTAAGAAAATGACGCACTAGTGTTTAATGTTTTCCGTTGCTTCGCATTTTTTATTTGATTTTTTTTTTCATTTTTTATTTCATTGTTTTTTGATTCGTGTAGGGCCGTGCTTATGAATAATACATATGATCTTATACATTTATCCAAAAACATAAGCCATCGTTCCATCTCAACACTTCCCCCTCTTGAAAATCGGAGACCGATAACCGCAAATAACGCAAGTGCTCGCACTCAAACTGGTCGCTGGCCAAGGATATTCACCAGAAAATTGCCACTCTCTAGGGGAGCGACAGAAATTGTTGATACCTTGACATCATCCATGTTTCACTTGCTTCGTTGATTTTTTTAACCATCGGTTTTAGTTATATATTTGTAATGGACAGGAGATTTCTTGTAATTAACTCTAAACACAACTCTATGGAAGTATTAATGATGTGTTGGGTAGGACTTCCCCTTAGAAGTGTGATACATATCGGTGCTACTATGGATTACATGAATATAAGTAAATGAAAATTGGAAAAATGCGGAAACAGAATCATAACTATCCTATGTGATCACCAGAAAGTGTGATTGCTACAATCATGCGTCGTACTCGAACCGTTTTTGAACCGTTGAACTTCAACGTCGAGGATTTTTGGCTCGCAAAACTTATCGTTTCAATGCACATCAGAGTAGCACTCATACACTAGTAGCACTCCGCTTAAAGCAACAGTCCAGGCAGGGTTTCAACTACTTGGTCATTAGGCGGTCAAAACATGCCCCAGCCCAACTAAAGTTTATAGGAAATGTCTTTAAGTTCAAAACCTACCTCTAAAATGCGCTGGAAGGGGTCGAAGTCCTCTTGGAGGGGGCGGATCACCCATACCGAGGCGGATCGCCCAACATACGCTGTGCAGAGCGCTTGCTCGACTAGCGGTCGTTGCGGGACCGCCGCGCTGTATGAGGTCGATTCCATAAGAACGCAATTGAAGCGCTTCAATTTCGATTGCTGGCAAATAGTTATGTATTTGCAAGCATGCATGGCTATTTGCCAGCAGTTGCAATTGGAGCGCATGTACTACGGGCAGGTTCGGACAACTCGTCCAACACACGTCTCCCTAAACGGCAGGGGGAGTCCCTGTCTAAGCCCCTGCCCGACGTTTTTTCTACTTTTTCTTTCTCCATTGACCAACTTCTCACCTGCAACGTCATTATAGGTGGTCCTTACCCGCGAATTCGTTCCTGGATTGTTGCTTTAACCATACAACTGAAAAAGGAAGTGGACAAAATCGTTCTGGTTGGGGAATTGAGAGACCACCACGAGTAACCTTAGGAAAGAACGCGGCAGAATTCACAGGCATTTAGCGCGTTCGCTTCGCCGACTCTTATGACAAACGGGCAATAAGGAGAATCCTAGAATGTTCAAGGGCTAACTGCTATCTTAGGTTTATGCACTCTGTTCAGGTGAGGCATTCAAATTCCCATGGAACTTTGAGTAACCTGAGACCTAGATGATAGAGCTTCAAACGCTGATTACAAATATGGAAACTAAAACTGCAAAATGAACCTGCCAAGGAAGTTGTGAGCAGTCAAAGTTGGCTGGAAGTAAAGCATTACACTGCTAGCCTCCGGGCTTTCAAAGTCGCCGTGGAGTAGTGGTAGTGCTCTCGAAATTTGCACTCAACGGAAAGAGAGCTCATGACCTCCGGCTGGAGAACAAAACACTACTGCTACTCCGGCCGCTCTGAAAGCCCGGAGGCTAGCACGGTTCATATGTAACGCTTTACTTCCAGCCAACTTTGACTGCTCACAACTTCCTTGGCAGGTTCATTTTGCAGTTTTAGTTTCCATATTTGTAATCAGCGTTTGAAGCTCTATCGATATATCTGGGTCTTAACCAAAGTTCCATGGGTAGTATGCCTTCCCTGATGAGTACCGCCGCTGAATATCCTAGCAGGTGGGAGCTCCTACTCACAAGGCTATGGTGATGCAGGACTGGCGCAAGGCCAACTTGGCTGACTTCATTAATTTCAACGAGGGGAAGACCAACAATTCAAAACTAAACTCGTTAGATTACAGTGTCCGATCAATTCTGAAACTAAGGCTTGCATAAAACCTTCGATCTGTGGTTTCATGGAAGGAATCCAGAATGAGTAGGAAGAGTCCAACGCATCTCACTTACGTGACGCAGGCTGCGTTTCCTCAGTGCTTTCCGAGTTGTGTGTAAATGTTAACCTAGAAGTTTTCAAGATTTAATGTTCTTAATTCATAAGTTAACAGTAAGTGTTACTGCATTTTCCATTCCCTGGAACTAAGGCATTCTTATTCTAGGCAGCTCGAAAACCTTGTCACTATATTTTTTTCGCAACCTTTAGTAGCCATACCCTGACAATGTCAATGAAATTTCCATGGGTACCCACCCGACAGGAGGCCCATCGTGCGGCAACAAGGCAGAGTCAGCGGACGAGTCGCAGCGCGTACTGTAGTGATTTCGCGTCAAGTTAAATAGAATGTACCATTGCACGTCCTACATCGCACATCGCTGCAACTCGTCCGCCGACTCTGCCTTCTTGCCGCGCGACGGGCCTCCTGTCGTGAACCCAATTTCCATACTTTCAAGCACCTGCCCTAGAAAGCATTTCGCTATTATCTATATCTGCTCCTTCCAAATGTACATTCATGCAGGTTTTATTGTGCAAGTCTCCGCGCGACGAATGAAATGCAGTACGCATTCGTTGAATGTTTCGTTAACAATTGATCTAGTTCATTGTACTTTGCAGTACCAATCATCAAGAACTGGTCAAGACATGTGGGGCAGTCAAATGGACTGTAGTGAGGATGCTGCTGCCCAGTCATTTGGGTGTGTTGTGTTTCCCGTTTTCCTTCCTTCTGTCTTGTGTTGTTGGTTTATTTTTGTTTAGGAATTCTTCGACCGTGGCATCCTCAACCCAACAACCGCCAGCTGCTACAGGACAACTACGACCAGCTGTAGACGAAACACCCCAGTTCGGCGGACACTACTCACATTCTACGGGAGATGTATTTCGCCAACCATCCGTGTGTTTGATAACAAAATAGCATTCAAGAAGTATGTCATATTCATGGTTCGAATCCACGCGAGTTCCGTTTCAGGGTCCGCAGCCACATCGGAATCCTAGTTTTGACGAGACCCCCTCTCGGTTACACAACAAAGTGCGAACATTTACCTCACAAGCAGCTCATCCAAATCATCACAGTAACCTGCAATACACGCAGGGTTTATATAATTGAAAAGTTCTATATTCTCGTGAGCTTTAGCTATATTCGGTGCTCACCTGTATTTTATTTCTATATGACTAACATTAAATGTATTGCATTAGCACCTCTTGGCTTTATTAATGCATAGCATTAAAAAATTCCCCAGCACGAAGCAAAGACGACTTTCTCGTGGCATATGTCAACCTGTAACCTACACTACTCGGTTCTCTTTTGAGTTTGTTCTTTCACAAATATACGAGATTAACTGCGCTCATAATGATGCAGCAGATGTTTTACCTAAGATTTGTCACGCATTTCAGGTTGTTTTTGAAAACATCTCGATTTAGGAAATGAGCCAGATGTAACCAAATATAGAATCAAATTCGCCCATGAACACAAAATTTTAACTTGAAAATTCGGGAAAATTTTTTTCATTTTTTCTGAGAGTGCACTTTAGGTGTTAATCAAAATGTTACCGCCACTACAATTTCTCCATTGCATTCATTTTCGCTCCAAAAAACAGGAAAATAGGTCAAGTGTTTACATTGACGATTTTTGGGCGGTGGATATCGATCGAGTGTGTGTCAGGCCGTACGCATAGTCGGTCGTCCGACAGCAACGATCGCAAGTGTCGCATAAACCACGGTCGCAAATGGAAGGCGACACGGACTGCGCGTGTTGGTATTTGGGAAAGTCCCATTGTAGTATGTAATAGTAGCTGCGTATTGATCGTGCGACACTTACGATCGTTGCTGTCGGACGACCGACTATGCGTGGACGTAAGCAAACCAGCCCTTTTGGCGCTTCGGCTGGGACCGTATGCTGAATGTTGGGGAGGGGATGGAGTCCCCGACGGTGGACGGACCACTTCAACTCGGTCCTTAGAACCGCCACAATTTGGTGCTTACCTCAGAACTAAGCCTTAAAGAGAGGACGGGTCCGTCCCCTCTCCAAGGCTTAGTCCTGGGTGAGCAAACCAGCCCTTCTGGCGGAGCTGCTGGACCAGCTGCACCACTTGCGTCAGTACTCTCCTATCGTACCAACCGAGTTGAAGTAAACCGTCGACCGTTGGGGACCCCATCCCCTCCCCAACATTCAGCATACGGTCCCAGCCGAAACGCCAAAAGGGCTGGTTTGCTTACGTCCTATGCGTGCGGCCTCATATGGCGCGATCCCATTGGCATTGGAGCGCACAGGCCGTAATTACCACATCCTGCTGTGGCCGGACAACTCGTCCGCGCAACACATTCTGTTCCGTTCCTCTTGCCTTGGCATCAGGCCAACGAAGCTATCCGCTTTTTTTCAGATCTTTGGGACTCAGCGAGATTTTTGAGACCCAAATTATCAGATCGATCAATTACTGAAGTCTAGTAGTTGAGTGATACGGACGAGTTGTCCGGCCGCAGCAGGATGGGGCAATTGTGCGCTCTAATGCCAATGGGATCGCGCCATATGACCGCCTACCTATCGACTTCTTCAGGGATCCAGCTTTATCTGAAACTAGAAAAGAACTTTGGGCGTTATTTTTTGCTTTCTGATCAAGGCAAACCCCTTGTCGTAAGAAAAAAGAGAACGTCCATTTCTATCAAGTCTGTTGTACTTCGAATCTTATACAAAATTTTACATCTCGAAGAATATTTTTTTGCAATAGTTTCAAGAACTTCAAAGTTATCATTAATAAGTTATCGAGGAAGGCAATGTTACTGACAGTTAAGGTATCGCAAAAATAGACTCGCCATTGCCGAAAGGTCTGGCTGAGCCAACAGGATTGATCAAATTTTGGTGCTATCTTAATTGGGGGGGGGGACCACGCGGCGCTCTGTTCGTCTGCTCCTCTAAGGCTTAGTCCAAGGGGCAGTTACTATTTCGTCGCCACGTGGCAGTTTCGAAATACGCGCCATCGGCGGACTAAGCCTTGGAGGAGCAGACGAACAGAGCGCCGCGCCGCCGGGTCCCACCCCCAACTAAGTTAACACTCAAATTTTTTTTTGCCTAGCTGTCCGGTTTTTTCTTCGATATTCGTCTTTCTCATAGTAACTGTTCTCTTTGCAGGACATGTCTGATCAAAAGGGAATTAAATGAAATGCAAATAAACACTAACCAGGGAATGCTTTCAAATTCGCATCTATTGGGTTGGAACGTAATATCGTTTTTTTTCGAGCGCATAAATTCGACCGTACAAGTACCGCTCAGAGAACTGCGTATATCATTTGAAAATAACTTTTCCGCTCTACAAATCTTGTTTGTCGTTTTATAAAAAAAGTTCAACTATATTTGCACTCAGATATAGTGCGTGGAAGTTGTAGAATCCAGACGGCAAAAAAAAACAGCATCTGGACAGCTGCTATTCTACCATTTGCATAAAGAAAAGTCAAAACACGAGTTCTTCGGAAGTTCTTCTTCTTCGGTTTTTATCGAGCCTTGCACTAACTTGCCTTACTTTTTTCGCTCAAATTGAAACCATATTTGTGCCGCGCAAATTGTCAATAATGAGGACTTCGAAAACAGCTTACTATCCTATTCTAATTCTAAATCCAGTGATTTCTGCGAAATGCAATCAAAGTTGTAAATAATGACAAAGTGAACATCACTGATTAGTTTTATGTTTTTATTTTTTGCTTCAAACGTTTGTGTGCAAAAATGAAAAATGCAGAGCGCTACGATATTATGTTCCAACCCAATACTTTGGATGGAGACCTAGGTAAATTGAATGGATCAGAGATGTTGGTCGCAAATATGAAGACAAAAACTGCTTGTGAAATCTCAAAGCAAGTTGTGAACAGTCAAAGTTGGTAAGAAATGCAGCAAAATAAAAGCAAGTTGTGGGGTCAACATGGCGCCAGGTAGCCCTAGTTTCAGAGATGATTGTCGTAAACGGGTTACCCACTTATTCCTGTAGGCAAAGTTTCCAGAAAGTTTAGGAGGCTGATTTAGTTGGATTAGCTCGCCCTATTTGCTGACGCTGCATTTCATGTCAACTTGGACGGACGCCAACTTTTCAAAATTTATTTGAATATTCTCGTCAGTTTCTGTGTGCATATTGTGCCAGCATTTCAGACTACCGATTTACTCACATCTCCATTAAAAATTGGAAGCCTTTCCAAGTAAAACAGCAGGCCATATTACGGTCAGCTTGGCTACACTGTTAACAAATTTGACTCGATGTTTTCTGTTCATACGTTATTTTTTTTAATTTCCACCTAAAAATTATCTCGATCGTTTTTTTACGATGAGTGGAATTCGAGGTTTCTTGTATAACACGATGTTTCCCTCGATCAGAAAACAATGAAGGATGTCAAGGCCTTCGCCGTACATCCTGCAGGATTCTCGAAGAAACGCATAATGTAACTTTTGCTTAAATCTCACCCAATTGGAATACGTGAAATATTGTCAAAATATTGTTATATTTATTTTTTGTACAGATTTGCCCTTTTTGGCAGTTGGACAACGGTTTTAGTTCTTAGAAAGGGAGCACTATTGAATATCAGCAGATAACAGCCAATAACAATTAACTTAGAATTAGATACATATTAGTATTTACTAACCAGTTTCACCTAGCCAAATCGAATGCAACAGAGAAATATGCAGTGGTTGAATTACCTAGCCAATATCCAGATCGACGTCGTATTTGGAAAAGCAATGATTTTTCTCCACTTTTTTAGCTGGAATTTCATGGTGGTGTGTAAATAGGTTTTATGTTTGAAGGAGGCTCCCACGATAAGGGTGGAGGTCGAAGAAGGGGAAATATACTAACAATAAGTCAAAAGAGTTGCGGACCTAAGGGTACTGAACGATACATGTTTCGTAGCGCAGAGCATGCCCCCCCCCGCGTTGCGGCACGCCCACCCTCTCGCCGTCTGTCTCTAGTCGTTTAGCAGAGAAGTGTTAATGCTTGAAGAGGGCAGCACCGATGAGAAGTCGCATCACCGCAGAAATCAACTGGCAGACTAGGGATCCCAATTCTGTGTTCACGGCAGTTTCAATGGTTTTTTTCTTCATCCTCGCACCGCTGAGCCCCTCTACCTTGGTCTATAATGAGCTGCTTTTTCATTGTAAATTCCTCCTTTAACTTATCTTTATGACTATTGAACTGATCTGTTTGGACACTAAGTGGAAGAGGTGTAATGGTTATCTTTTTACTTTTTGGAATTAAATCCAGAATCACCATCCATGCCAACCAAGCTTTACAACCTTCTGGGATCGAGTAGTATCTGTGAGAACAAAAAGGACTGAATTGCACAACGCTTGGGTTGCTTTGCAAGCCAGTACAATCAAAATGGCATTCAAGTACCACTACGATCCTGAATGGAACTAGAATGCGTGGAGCACCCTAAAAGAAGTTTATCGGTGCATATGTTTCATTTTCTCTTAATTAAAAAGGATTTTAAAAACGTCCTGGAATGCGAGTGTTTAATAGTTGATAGTTATGTGCTGTATCTTTGAGAGAAGCAATGTAGCTCCAGCTTAGGCATTTGTTTTCACTTTGACATCTTTTTATCTGATGAACAAGGTTGTCTTCAATGTTTTCGTAAGCGTTCAACATGGTCTCGTTAATGAGTTATTCTGTAATAAGTTAAGCAGACCAAGGACGTAATGGTTGCGATGGCGTATGCTTTTGTGTTTTTGAACACATACAAAGTTACAGAATTGTATTTGTACGTTCCTGTTGTTATATCCCTTTGTGGATCATTGAAAGGCATATTTTGCCGTCACTTCGATGTGATTATTACCTAAACACGAGATTGAATATGTGAACTAATTCGGCGGTGAAGAAAAACGGGAAATAGAAGACTAAGGCTGTGTGAGAGTCCGTGCCAGGGTGAATAACGGTCGAGGAATTCCTCGACCATGGCTCTCTACCGTGCGAGAGTAGTGTCGAGAGTGAATGAATGCGCGGAGAGCACAGACGGCTCGCGCTGGCGAGAGTGAGCATCCGCGTGGGAGAGCGTGAAAGAATCCTCGACGAGCCGTTGTCTTTTCCTCAAGCGATTTTCACCCTGGTCCGTGCAATCCGTCGCGTGATTCGCAGAAAATCGCAAGTGCCCATTTGAACATTTGAAACACTGAATATGAAACAAGTAGAATCATGAACAGTCGTCATTCAGCCATCACCATCAAGCAGAAATGGCGGCGGGATTGGAGAGCACCTTGCAGTATTGATCGGGGCACTTGTTTCTTCTGTCGCGCAACTCGCGCGAATCGCGCGACGGATCGCGGACTCTGACACTAGCCTAACGCTTTTGTGGCCCTTTGGAAGGCGCATTCGCCGTGCCGTTACCTAGGTGTGAATTCTTCTGACTTACGCTGTAAAAATTCATTCGTTCGAAGGGACTACTACTTTAACCAGAATTAAGGTACTGATGTGAGTCGGACTGATTTCAATGCTTCGAGAACGTTGTCTTCAAAGCACTAATCATTCCGTTAGAAATGCCTGGTTAAATACTGGATCCCATTACAACGACCTCTTGAAAATCATAGACTACAAATAGTGTGGCATTGTTTGCGCTCGCTTGAGGAGTTGTTGACTGTGCGAGGCGTGGTACAGGGTCTAGATACGTTTTTGAAGATATTTATAACATATTGAGCAACTTGTGAAAGAAAATCATCACTGAAAAGGATTGCGACAAAAAAGTGCACTGGATCAAGTAGCTGACACTGCACAAAGCAATCGAGTTTACATGGGTAAACTAATAAATAGAGTTCAGAACACAAGCTGTTAACCCTTATTTTTCTGTCTCTGTACCAGAAAAGTTAGACTCTGAGGCTGGTGTCATTACCCAATGAAAAAAGAGAACTAGCCGTATTAAAATGCTCCTGGAAAAATCATATAACTCAATGACATATCAAATTTACAAGCTAAAAAGGGCAAAAGACTTATACTTCCTGTGGTCTTGGCTGGAAATCCTGCTCTAGGCCATGTTCGTCTTCTTTATTGTTGAGATTTCTATAGGAAACCCTTGGGTTTTGTGCGTGTTGAAGCAGGAGATGAAGACGTTTGGTGACCACACACAGATAGATACCGATACTACAGAATATCAGGATGAGCATCAGCATGAAGACCTGAAACTAACTGCAATGAGTATTTTCATTGTCTCTGCTTTCAATAGTAAAACCGATTGCATAGGAATGAGGAAAATAGTAGATGAGAAGCATCCTTAAAGCAACAGTCCCAGCAGGGTGGGCGTGGTCGGAAACGACTGCAATCCCCTCGGCCGATTCCGACCACGCCCACTTCAGCTCCCTAGCGGCTTTCCAAGGTGAGTTTTTGTTCAGTCACACTTCTTACGTTCTTGACTAGGGGCTGAACAGCTCCGAAGTGGGAATCGGCCGAGGGGATTGCAGCCGTTTCCGACCACGCCCACCCTGCTGGGACTGTTGCTTCAAAGGTCCATCGTTTTTCCCATGCACCACAACTTGATCTAGGGACGGAAGTAGTGCTTGAATCCTTTTTTTGCTTTTTATTGAGTAGATGGTGGAAGAGGAATTGGTGGGTCAAGTCCGACGCTGCTTTATCTATTTGAAGTAAATGAACTCAAAGTGGCAGTCTGCAACGTCTTACTATTAAAAATAGGCAGCAATTTACTTAAATAGGCAGTTTTTGAACGTAGTTGCTTGAGACATTGAGCCTGTACCAACTTCAGCGCATTTCATATGTGACGTAGTAGTGACATTATTCGCATACATACTCAGCGATGCACAAATGTCGCATTCGAGACATTTTATGGAGTTTCGTTGCTAGACCCATATATCTTGCTACAGGACCCAAGTGCTTCAACACAGAACCCTCCTATGAACTTTAGTTGGGCTGGGGCATGTTTTGACCGCCTAATGACCAAGTAGTTGAAACCCTGCCTGGACTGTTGCTTTAATTGTGTACATATAGAAACACCACAATGTTTATTCTGAAAACAAATCGTCATAAGCCAAAGGGAGTTACTCTGGATAATGTAATGAGGCATATTTTAGCGCTCGTCATTGGCAATGTAAGCAGATCCCAAATGGGTTATTCTCAACACGTTGACGACAGCGTGACGCGGTAACGCGTCCCACTTTGCGCACCTCGTGGGACATTGTGACGCGGTAACGCGTCCCACCCAAGTCTTCCCTTTTTCTTGCGCTTCGCGACTTATTCCTAAGGTCTTTATACCTGTACCCCTGTCAGCCTGCATAGCGCTAAATTAGTTGAACACCGCGCTTTGGGCTGACCGTCCAAGAATATCTGCGTTCTGTGGCAATCTCGCTCGTCACACACGATGGCTCACAGCACCATTTAGGTAGCTATGTATTACTTCCTCTTCTAGGATATCAGTTCTAAGACGGTAGAACGATGTGCCAAAAGTGTGGGCCAGAAGTGGGAAAGACTGCTGTTTTTGACTGTTCGGCGTCTTACAAGACTGGGAAGAGACAAAGGAAGGAATCAATAAAGAGGACTAAATCATTTTTTACCGATATTGACGACAACCCTTTTGTCAACCCAAACTTCATGTTTAATGTGTGAACTCACGGCGGCAAATCTTCCACTCCGGTCTATGGACGCAGTAGAAGCGCACGCATCTGCGTGGGCAACCTGTATCAGCAAGCGGCCCGCAAGCTCTGGAGGCGCCGCACATCTGCAAAATAATAGTAGCTCGGATTCCATGCTCAAGCTCATCATGATAACAAAGGATTCCTGAAGCTAACCTGGGTAGTGTGTTGGTGTATTCATATGAAAAATATTCGTCCTCAAGAAGAAATGCCGTTTCGCAAGTGCAGTTCAACGGGTTTCCACCAATTCCAAGTTCAATCAGCTGGAATTAATTTTTTTTCAATCACGCAAGCAACGAATTAAAGTGCTTGAATCTTTGGAAACAGTGCAGCAGACGTTTACGCAGAAAACACAGCCATGATTACTTCTGCTTGAACTCTATAAGTATCAAATCCATACATCGCGTTTAGGAACTGGAGAAATCCCTTTCTGGATGCAGTTGCTGGGTTTACTACTGCGGAGGTCGTACCACTACTTAAAGGAGTCACAAAGATGCTAGGGATTTACGACCAGGATCTCCGTACGCCTAATGGCTCCGTGTATGCCCGACGTTGCAATATGTCTTTAGCTGAGTGGTTTTAGCTCAACTACTCTGTTCACTCTCTTGGGGTCTCTCTCATCTCGGCGCAATTTCTACCCTCGCCTTCAAATGACCAGAAATTGTGCAATTGCAGAAATTGACGTGGCATTAACGTGGCATCGATTCAAGAACATCTTTGAGCACACGTGATGTCACCTTTTCATCGAGAATTTAGCCACGTGTGCCAATGCCACGTCAATTTCTGCAATTGCACAATTTCTGGTCATTTGAAGGCGAGGGCACATCACTGCCTGCATTTCAGACTTTTCCAGAGCGATGACAATCTACTTTGCATCCCTTCTGTCATATTCGAGTTCGAGTTACCACATCAACTTGGACCTGAGGTGTAACTCTAAGAGTTTCCAGTTCTAAACTGCCTTTGTACACGTATCACTCTTAGGCCAAAGCAACACCATTAAAGGCACTTGGCATAGATGGCGCTGGAAGGGCAAATGTGGCTACTATAAAGGTATTTTAAGCCCCCATGGAAAGGAAGAATAGCCTTTTTGCACGTAAAGAGCGTTTTCGCAAGAACCTGGCAAGCATTCCGTGTCATCTTCGACACTTCGCCCTCACCGGGAAAAATTTTCAGGACACGAAGCGCTTTTTTCAGAACAGTTTGCTGAATTTTGAGTTGTTTTTGTTTGTTAACTGCAGTTGTAGAGCCGAATAATTGCGATTTGAAAGCTTTTTGTTAACTGAATAAATTTAGACATATATGAGCCCAAGAAAGTGGAAATCAGAGAAATGCAAAAATTTGTCCTCAATGGGGACTGAACCGGCAAGCCTCGACATGTTTTCTAGCAAGAATTTGAGCCATTTAGAAAAGATTATTCTCAGTTTTCTGCTCCCTGCCTTGGAAAAAGCGCGCCATGTCGTGAAAGACTTTCCTGGTCAGCTCACCCACCGGCTGATTACCCTGCTGCTGATCTTTCCCCGTCGGACTCTAGCCATTTTAGCGGAATATGCAGGGCGGAGCCTTCAGTTTAACTCATTGTGTACCGCGTGCACGCTGATTCGGCTCGGTGTGGCCTCGTGCTGCACGTGGGGCAACGTTCCATTTCGGCGCAAGCGCCAGCGACTATTCAAGGATGAACCACTGATCCAGATACCACTGATCATTGCCTGAGTGGAGGAAAAAATTCCAAAGAAACTCACTGTGCTCCAAGGTAAAACATCCTCACTGAGGGTGCGCAGATTGCAGTTTTCCACGTAAAAATGCGTGAGAGCAGTCAATTTGCCCTCAGCCAATGTTGACCATCCAAATGCGTTTGGATGAATCTCTTGTAGTTTCGAGCAATTGTTCATGTACACACGCTGAATTTTTAATATTTGTATGACTTTACAGTGGGCAAATCTAATTTAGAACCTCAAGTCTTTCCAAACCGCAGAAGGCACAATCCTGGACGCTGTACAGGTATGGCATGTTCGTCATATAGATTTGCTTCAAAACATGATCATCCTGAATGTCGAAGAGTTAGATAAACTATGGCCTGAGGTGGGATCACAAGTCAATAGTAGCTCTCCAAAATGTATCCCATTGAGCCAGCTGAATGAAAAATGCCCTCAAAATTTCATGCTTAAAGGCACGTGCCGGGATCGAATTGATGTGTCATTTTGGTAGGATAGATAGAAAGTGCAATAAGAAACGTCACTGAGGAGAGAGGAAGAGGAGGAAGCAAAAAGCGCCACAGAAAAAAATCGACATTTCTTCTATGACGTTAGTTTGGAATGGCGGATAGACACAGCGCTGCAAAGAGAGGGGAAACGCGAGAGAGCATGTCGTCCCGAGACCCGAGAGGGCGCAGGCGCTACGTATGCCCTGCTTGATAAGATGGCAGCAACAAAGCAAGTATTATTGCTGTTGCCTCGCACTGTTGAGCGAGTGTCGCATCTCCTGCGCTTGCGGGCCCAGGTTTTCCCGTAGGAGGGATTGCTTCCTCGCACCCAATCCCGATCCGTGGCTTCAATGATTCTTTACATTGCTCTAGAACATGCGTGGATCACATCACGTCGGTGTCTTACCAGCTGACCAGAATTCTAACCCCACATGCAAATAATCAGATCAATCGCGTCAGGGTTGTAGGGAAGCAACACAGGGATGGGTGAAATTTGCGCATGCCCCCCCCCCCCATTTTTCCTTTCCTAATTTCATTGAATATGTTTCTTGAGTAGCACACCTTAATCGAATAAAAAACTTACTTACTTTCAGAGATTGCGCATGAAACTCGGCGATGTTCGTGTTACTAATGTCCAAATACTCTAGATTCTTTAGTGCGTTGATCGCTCGTGGTACTTCCGCAAACGGATTCCCTCGCAAGGACAATTTTTTCAAAGAACTGAAAACAACAAATCATCTTCATTTTAATCATATTTTTACCGGGTGTTTTCAAGAAAGAGGATAATAGACTGAGCTGCGAGTTTCATGGCCCTTTGACAATTTTGATCAGTTTTCTTTTTTTTTCAAGTTTTTAGTTAACACGTTGACGACAGGCTGACGCGCATGCGCGTCAGAATTTTGCACCGCATCGGACATTCTGACGCGCATGCGCGTCAGAACTATGTCATTCATTTTTATTGTGCTTGCGCTCCTTCTTCTCGAGTTTTTTGTATTCATTCTATAGATAATACATTAGCATAACTATAAACCACATGGCAGCCAGAGTGGTCAAATATCCCTTGATTTAGCAAAGATTTTCTGAACGCACAAAACTTTCATTTCAATTCTTTCCTAGTATTCCTTTCACTGTCGTAAACATTCATATGAAAGATTGTAGAAGCAGTTAATACAAAACTCTGTGAGTTTCAAGATATTTGTATTTGATGGAAGAACTTTATAAATGCTTTTAACTTCATTCGCAGCGAAAGTGATGTTTTTTGCTTCTTCGTGGTTATTCTAAACAAAAATCTACTGCCATTTATATAGTTAACCTTTATGCTTTCATCCTTGCCGAAATAATTCTATGAGATTCAAGTTGTTGTGCATTTTAAACAAAAAATAAGCGGAAGTAAGGTGAGGACGGCGCGCTCGCAAAATCGCTCCTGTCCCACGCGGTGCAAAATGCCAAAACACGCGATGTCGTCAACGTGTTAAGATCCACCACATGTATCCACCAATATAGTGAGCGATGCCATCCATCTGATAGCCATGTTGTCGTTTCTCGTTTAGAATTCAGGACAGACGACAGTGAATCAAGGAATTTGATTTCTTAATTTCGAAAGATCTCATGTGACTTAAAGTTTCATATTTAAAAAAAATTCTATCACTATGTCCACATATGAAATCTCACATATGCGTGTATGCTTTCAATGTAAGATGAAAAGCATTTGGCGTTGATCAATCCCGTTTTGGGATGCGGCACGCATTCTACTTCCATTTGTACATTCGTAGTGGCGTTTGAATGCGATGTGGCCTATACAATGACTTGCGGGGGCCAGCCGATGTACAAGTCAGTGTTTTTATCCTTTCGAGCAAATCCGGTATCAATTGAACACACAAGGAAGAAGGGAATGCTTGCTTGGACCGGACCAGGATTTGATCCACGGACAGGGTGCGTGGTATGCACGCCACTTGGCACTTCACCAGGTCCGTACGGCCAACAAACTTAGAGAATTGGATTGGAGCATTTCAAAATACCTTAAAGAAATTGAAACGTGAGAAATCACAAGATCATAACGCCTTGTCCTATTGAGAAGCTCAGTTCCTGTAATTAGAGGATAATATTGGGTTGATGCATAATTACTGCGGATTTTTCCAACAAATCTTATTCAGCGATAAAGATACAAAAGTTATAAGAAGCGATAACGAAAAGATATATAAGATATTCAACGAAAACATACCAAAAGATTATTCCGGAGCATAGTCACCATACTTCAAGAATGCTTCCCGTTTGCTTGGCAGTCGGCCGATTCCACGGGAAGAAATCACGACTCTTGGAGACGATCCACGCTCTAATATCGCCCACAAAGTCGTGAGCCGAGCAGAGCCCGAGCTCTTTCATCAGATGATATCACCCGTGCTTGTTGGATTCGGTAGGCATCCCGTTTTGGGGTTATGCAGACAAGCATAGCAGAGGTAACCATGGGAATAACTCCCCAAGATGGCCGTCAGCAGTGCGGGAGAACGGTTCGAAACGTCTCAAAATCTCCTTCCTCCAAATGAAACCCGGCCTCACATTGCAAAGATAACTCGCCACGTTTGAGGGAAACTGGCTGGACCACGATACCACATCTGACGTATAGCCCTGACATTGCTCCATCGTACTATCCCCTCCCAGCTCCCTGAAGCAGCAGCTACGAGAGAAAAAAGTCAGTGAATACAACCACCCAAAAACGACCTCTCCGAACTTTCATCCCACAGCTTCACTCGTTCTGGGAGGAATGCATCCATTCGTTCCCTAGCAAATGGATGCATATCAGTGATTATGATGGTGGTTATATTTTTGATCAATTGATTTTCAGAAAAGGAAAAACTTGAAGAAAACGAAGTGTCGAAATTCGGCCAGAAGTTATGGGTCAGCCCAATAGGATCACCTGTATCACCTGTCACCTGTCGTCCCGTTGATCGTCGATTTGCTCGAGCGGGCGCCAGCAACGTCTCCATTCGTCCCTGTCGCGTGCAAGAGTTGTCCAGTGGATCCCTCCTCGCTCGAGGGACACGGA